ACACAAAGACACACACACACACACACACACACACACACACACACACACACACACACACACACACACACACCCCAGAGGTTGAGGGGCATTCAGAACATGACCAAAGTCAGCAAAGCACTTCCACTTCAGTGAATGTTCTGCTCCTGGTAGCTAAACACTGACCAGAGCCACCCTCAGCTCCCATGGACTCACCCATTCACAGCATGACCACCTCATTAATAGCGAGGAGTAGAAAATAGAGCTACAGCAGGGAGGTGTGCCCGAAGGCCAGCTGCAGCTGCCTCCAGTGGTGAAGCAGCCAGTGACATTCTAGGACTTGGGAGACACAGCTGGAGATGGGAGGAAGGGGAGGCAGACAAACCCAAAGGAAGGTGCACAGCACCTGCCTCCCTGTTGTTAAACAAAGCTGAGATGTTAAGCACTCACCTAGGAGGTTCTGGGTGATGTTAACTTGCCTCCCATTTACCACCAGCTAAATCCCACTTTAATTAGCTTGCCTCTTAATTGAAATAAGTGATTCACCAAAGAGGGCCAAGGAGCTCCCCACCGTCAGGAGAGTAAGCTACCTGTAATGCCTGCCTGTTTGCTTTCCTATTAAATATTCAAGGATGGATCTATAGGACTTAAGTGATGGTTTCCCCTTGGGATGTGAGTATAAAAATGAAGCCCTTTCCACATGGGAAATGTGCCTCTCACCAGCCCAGTGGCTGCCTCCATTTTACGATTTCAAAGCAACATTAAGGTATGTCCTTCATAGATTTAGGCAGGAGCGATAGTGTTTCTATTTAATCATCGACTTGAGACAAAAGCACACTTCACCAACTTCAGCAGAAGTGTGCATTAAATTACTTCCGAAATTCCCTGAAGAGTAAGGCTTGCAGGTTTGGGATCGCATGACAATTAAGTAATAATGAAAGAGAACTCTGTGCCATTTGATCAAATAATGCATTAATCCTAACACACACTGTGTGTGCCCCTTATCCACTCTTCGGGCATGTTGACTTTTTCCGGTAATTTTGATTTCTCCTTCCCCAGGAACAGACACAGGTATAGAGAAAAGGACCCAGCATGTATCAGTGTAAGACAATGGAAGTAGAGATGCCTGGGAGAGCCCTGATAAGGGCTCAGCTCCTCCAGGCAAAGAGGAAAATCCCGGGTGGTTTTAATGAAAGGGGTGATCGCTTCTCAAAGTTCAGCACTTGCACAATGCATTTTTCTGAGGATAACCTGCATTCCATGTGCACCCTAAATTCATGAGGCCACCTCAAGTTCACTGAGCCTTCTACCTTGAGTAGGGCAAGTGCATGGGACACTTAAGACTAGAGATCAC